AGGAATTGCCACATCTCTTGCAGTGATATCCTTCAGTTTATGAATTGTTGCTGGCTTGTGGCAAAAAGAGCCACATCTTAAGAAAGCCACATAACCAGTAGTACCTCTGCAGCAGTGTCCACTGATGTTTGTGGACACCCTATATGTGAAAATCGGTCACACTACCTGTATCTTGGAACTTTACAACAGTCTTTTCCAAAAACGAGTAGAATATACTACTCATAATTTCTTGAGAAGATATGCAAAATATTTCATATTCTGGATGCTACACAGTTGATCCTAAAGGTTGTTCTAAATACCCACACTAACTTTTTATTGACCATGTATGTCCATGGAATTGCAAAATTATAGATCACTTGAATTATTTGTTAGTTCTAAGCTATTGTAAGTGAAGTATTTTAAATAAAAGGCCTAGTATAATTTAAGATTTCCATACCAGTTTTTATTAATCTTGGTTGATCTTGTGTGATACAATATGTGATGAATGCCAGACTTGTAAGGTTTGATTTTTGTGTTGATTTATATTGTTTTTTACAAGAAACCATGGTTTGAATAATACATTAATATCTCAGTCAATTTATTTTAACATGTTTGTGTTGAGAAACATTTACATCTGTAAGTGTAAGTAATACAATAATAACATGTTATAAATGCCACGAGCAATTTAAGAGTATGATTTATGTATGAGTGAATTTTAAACTGTACTGTGATTAGTCACAATACAAACAAAATTAGGGTGTTTGGGATTTTTAATTTGTTTGTTTTATTTAAATAGTACTCTATTGGTATGTTAGATCTTAGTTGGATGACTTTAGGAACATGTATAATATTGATCTCATGTAAAATTATTGATTAATTAAAAAAATTATATAATTGTGTGTCAGTGATTCTTTTTTCATAATTCAAGTAAAAAAAAAAACAATTTAAACTTGTATTTAAAAATTGTTGTAGTCATCTGCTCCTAGGTATGACTTCTGAATAAGTGTCTATTGGTATTTTGTTATCTTTTATGTACCTACAGTTGGTAAAATCAAGTGAGAATTCTAAGAATTGGTATAGAATTTTGAATTCTTGTATGTGTGGGTAAAACTTTTCACCAAAACATTTGCACATGCAGTAACTTTATTATGATTAGAAAAATATACTAGTAAATTTGGGAACAATTGTTTGTTAGTGTAAAAAATGTATTATCAGTACAGGTTGCATGTGAGGCTAAAAAATAACCTTTCAAAAACAAAATCGTGGATGAAATGACTTTTGAAATGAATGTCATATAAACATAGCAGTAAACCTGAGCAAAAGAAACTTGGCAATTTTTTTATTTTGCTTCAGAGATCAATCTCTTTAGATGTATTTTTTACCTTTTTGTATTATTATTAGTAAAACGGTTCTCCTTTTAACTGTTCAAATTGCATTAATACAGAGGATTGAGTAACAGCTCTCTCCAAAACAAAATATTCATACACTCGGATCATAAGTGCATAAAATAGGGATATTCATTGTACTTAATAGCAGTGGGAAAAACAAAGGAATATGGATAACTTGGGAAACCAGGATCATTGAAAAAGAGCGCTGCAAAACTGTATCTAAGCAAAATGTGGCATCTTGTAATAGTTGAGATTAAGCAACACAAAGGTCAGTGACCAAAGTTTTCATGTGTCCCAGGCAATAGTTCTTGACCTAATCAAGTTAGAGTTCATCAAGATAAGACTTCTAGTCATACCTCCTGTTCAACAGTCACATACCTCAAGCAGCTGGAGCATTAAATGGGTATTCATGCTATTCCATACAAAATCACTAAATGCAGTGCCTGTGAATTTCTTTGTAATCAGACTGTTGACGTATCTACTAGGAAATAGTCATCCCTGTAGGCTAGTTGATTAAGAAAAGTGAGCAGGATGGAGTGTTGTGCTTTGGATATAAAAGTTTTATAACAGATTTTTTGGAATGGAAACTACACTGCAGTACTATTGTCAAGATGCACGGTTGTTGGAAAGAGAATAACCGGACATGGCAGTGTGAACTGTACAAGTGGTGAGGCTCCAAAATTATTTTAATATAATGTACTCAAACCCTATGTTTGTTTACATTAATAAACACTATGATGGCAAGGTAGAATAAAATGCAAGTACCTCATGAAACAATATACAAGATCCTTGACCAGATCTTCTACATCCTCCTAACTAATAACACAGTCAATTGTCAACCAAACCTTAGATATCAGCAAAACCTTGAATATCCATTTTGAAAATATTCAAGTAGTTGGTTGATTCAAGTTCTAAGTGGGAAGACCCTAGTTAAGTAGGTAACACCACAGACTTCTTTCAAGAATATCCAGGATCAAATCCTGGTTACTACCTGAAGATGGCAGAAAATTAGCAGCTGAAATGTAGGATTAAAAAATTTTAATTATCTAATAATAATAAAAAGTTACCAATTAATAATTAACCAGACTTGGGCGATTTTATAGGCTACTAACAATGACAACAATCTGATTGCCAAACCATACTTGTGACTATTTACATATACAACTTCTCCAGTTTGTCATTAAATTGTCTATCAGTGCAGTGTGATTTAATTATCCTATTATTATTATTTTAAAGGATTTTATGCTGCCAATTACACAAAATACACATTATAACTAAAAATAAAACTGTCACATGATAATTTCAGTTCTATTTTCAATCCTATTTTTTTTTATTTGTAACTCTACACTTGTTCTAGCATCACAGTTGATTATATTCTTACATAACTAGTTTAAAACATATATTTAATATTGTATCTTCATGTAATTTTAGTGCAAGTGTTCTGTATGTCATTAATAACAGGCATGTAAACCAGCTGTGGAAAAGTCATAAAAATGTACTAATCCTTTTCCTTATGTAAAGATACAATAGTGAACAACAACGTTTATCCCCCAGTAACTTGTTCCATTTTGCCCATCTCAAGAAGTAACACTGATATCTGTACAAACTAGATGTACTTCTGCAGTTCCCCAAAAGTGTTCTGTTTCCAGAGTAAATAAAACCAAAACTAGGAGTAACAAATACTATTATTTCTTGTTTTTGAAGTTCGTATGTCATGCTGTGTTGTAGTCTACAGAGTGCATAATTTGTGATTCATGGCAAGCACACCTTTTATTGATGACAGTACGGATTGCAATGTTAAGCATCCTTTTTGTGAAGTCATTTTAGTGTCTACTGACTGACAGACAACACACTACCCTATAGTGGTGTGAATGGTTAAAACAGGTGACCTTTGGGAAAATTAGGCTTCTCTCACTTGTATATGTTACTATTTGGAATATTCATTGACATAGCTAATCTACAGACTTTAGAATACCACCACAGGACCCCCTTGGTTTGAATTTAAAGTTTGGTACAGGTCTGTGGCAAAATCATCTAGGACAGGGGTGGGCAATAAATTTCACTGGGGTGGGGGGGTTACTCGTCAGGAGCCGCACACTTATATTAATTAAATTACCTCAACATTGATTGTATAAAGACTCATTACCGGGAATAATGTAATGGCGGGCAAGACAGAAATGTTAGCCGGGCCATATTTTGCTCACCCCTAATCTAGAACATATCAGATTCAGCCTGAGAACAGTTAAATGCAAGAGGTATTCTGTGGCGTATTACAGATTCAATCTAGTACATTGTCACCATTTGCTTTGATGATAAAACTGAAGCAGTTAGTAACTAAGGGCATTCATCTCCCAGCTGAAATTGTTTCAGCACAGTAATAGAGGCTGGAGTGGTACAAACAAGTTGAGTAGGCAGTGTTGTGGTCATAGCAGTGCATCCCAGAAGAAATGTGCAACTTTACATATCTGAAGGCTGTAGTTCAGTTTGTGTAAACAATCCGAAATCAACACAGAAACATGAACTTAGTGAATTGCTTAGGAAGTTTGTTTAAGATACTTCTAAAACAAAATTTCAGACAATCTGAAATGTTTATGTTTATTAAATGAGCATGTCAGGAGTGTTCTTTCCAAGAAGAATATCTTTATACTTTACATTGCATAATACAATTAAGAGATTATGAGAATTTGAACCTTCAGTTTATTTTTATGCAAATCATGCATATGATGATCTAAAATGCATATTATTGGTCAATTAATCCATAATATATATACTTCTCTCACAATTTTGTCTGAGCTGTCACTTTGAAGTGAATTACAGAGTTTAAAGTGTTCCAAACATGAATAAACCTCAAAGAATACATTTATTTCACTCATGGATATAAATTGAATCAATGGAAGCTGTCCAATCACAGTGGCAAACTGGCTACATCTAAAAGTGATGTTAATAGAATGTTGAACTACTTCTAAAGCAATGGTAAATTTGTTCAGACACTAGATGATTCAGGACATCATCCACAACTATTATCAGTTGATTTTCACTAGCTACATCACAGAGAATCTGCTTCAAGACTGAACCAGGAATTTGTAACCACAACTAAGTTCTGAATCAGAGTATAGATGTTTAGGAAGAGACTTTACAAGGCTGATATGCCAGAAGCCCAGTAGCGTTCATTACACTCACAGAAAGGTACAAAACAGTTTACCTGGAAAGATGCCAAGAAAATATCTAGTGGACCTACATGTAAAGCAGTATTCCTTTTTTTTTGCAAATCAATTGGTCTTCATTCTGCAGCCAGATAACAAGCACTTACTCATTTACAAACGTAAGTTAATGACCAAAATCATTCTTCATCAAATGCCTTATTTGCATACAAATGGATTATGGGTGAGGTAACTTATTTAATAACAGTGATTTGTCAGTAACAGTACTGTGCCTTACAGTTATCCTTAAACTGTTTTATGTAATGAAAATATTTTATTGTTTTAGTTATTTACCTAACAATTTAATTGCTGGTAAAAATTTATTAAGAGTTCTTAATCTAATACACTGGTTAATTTCTTTTAACATTATAATACATAAAACACTAATTCAAATTACGTTTAAACAAATATAGTGCAAAGAACACTTGTACAATGAACTGGCCTTTATTGTTTCATCAATACAAGAGGAAAAAAAAGATTTTTGCACAAATCCACTTCTATGATATCGAACTTTCACAAATACCCTATTTTTATGTACATGTCTAGATTGGAGAACCTACATGCAGTATTCTTATGTCAAGTAAGTAAGGGTATTAAATAAAATGTTAAATAAATAAACTTAAATATGGCATTTGTGTAAACATTGGTATTTCATATGGCAAAGAGCTGAGCACTACCAGACAGGTCAAATACTCAAAACTGCAAATTTCTGAAAGGAAGTGAAGTACAGATGTGATAAACCAGGTTTTATAAGATACCTATTGCACACAAGTCCAAAATTAACAAATGCAATCAAATTTGACATGAAACCTTTGCATAGTGAACAATCAGCTCTGATCTCATTAACTAACAGTATGATGACAACAAATTCTGTTGTTTTAGAAAGCTTTGTCCGATGTGCACACAGATATGGAAGACTTCACAACATTTAAAGTGTTGACAGTTTTGTGGGTGTTATTGGTCTATATACACTTTTTTCTGTAGAAAATTTTCTGTACAAGTTATATAACCTAACATAAAGAAGTATATGAACACGCATAGTAATATTTTTTGTTTTACATATTTTACAATCTGGAAATACAAAGCTTATGTACGTATCAAGTTTACATTCCACTTCATAACTGGTTTTATTCAGTATATAGTAACCTATCAACATGTTAGCAATCAATGAACAATTTATAGCATCGACAACTAGTTAATTACATAAGATTACCAGCTGAAGAACTTGTGGGCTTTATTACTGATCTTTGTCTGTTACCATTAATCTAAACATGTAACATAATAAACTGCTGAACACATCTCACCTTATTCCTGATTCAAGTATCCTTTATGTTAAACATTAAGTTTCAAACTACTGAACACGTCTTGCCTTATTACTGATCCAAGAATGCTGTATGTTAAACATAAAGCTTCAAACTTTTGAATACATCTCAACTTATTACTGACTCAAGCACTCTATATGTTAAACATGAAATATTAGCAAACTTTTTAAGTTTCCTGGTTTTGCCAGGAGAATGATCACTTTCTTTTCTAATGCTTTTTTCCTACTTCTTGGTCATAAAACAAAATCTTTCTATTTTCTTAACTGGTTTTCCACTAATAGTTACTCAAATGTTGAGAAAATATTTTGCCATAAGAAGCTATAACTTACTTACTCCAAATGACTTATTAGATACTTTAGTAGAAGAGAACACAACAATGGCTAACATAATAACTCTAGCAAGAAAGAAATATGACAAAAAGTGTTAGAAGACTTGAAAAGTTGATTTCCCAGGGATTTTAAAATGTGACAAGGATACAAGCTGAGAAATAAATTGTTTAATCTGAAAAATAACTGATGTTCTTATTACTTCTTTTTATGGTGTGTGAGAAACATCTCCTGATGTATTAGAGACAGGTTGGAAAACCCCATAACGTCTTCCTGTCAGCATTTTCTGAAACTTCATAGATCTGTTCTAATTGATGCACTTGTTCTAATTATTACTGCAACTACACTTGGTTGGTTGTTGTTATACACAATGGGCTATCTGTGTTGTGCCCACCATGGGTATCAAAACTCAGTTTATAGCAATATAAGCCTTTAGACAAATATACTTAGTAATCAGTAATAAATTATTATCAGCATTAATTTTTTTTTAGTTATTACTGGGTCAATTCATCAACCAAATAGTAAAAAGTTACTAGTTGTCATGATTTATTATTCACTTAAGTCAGTAAATGGTATTTTAAATATCAAGTTATTAATTTATTAGAAAGTGAGATGTATCCTCATTACTCAAACCAGTAACCAGCAGGTTAATCACAAATATAAAAAAAAATGAAGTCATATTGACTTAATGTTAAGTCAAGTAAATATTAAGAAAGTTAAACGTATGTTACTAGCTGCTGAATTTGTCCTGACATAAGTTAGTAATTAGTCAGTTAAACATAAGTTACCAGCTACTAAACTTTTCTTGACTCATGGTAATAACCAGTAAGTTGAACAGACAATCAGCTGTTGACTTGAGTCAGTAATCAGGAAGTTAAACAACTGAATTTGTCCTAACTTACTGGCTCATGGTAAAACATAGGGTTACCAGCAGCCAAGCTTGTCCTTAAGTAATCAGTAATTAGATTCAAAAATGTAACAGAAGAATTAGATCAAAATTTCTGTTATTAGACCATATCAACCCTACATTAACTGTTCCTTGAAGACCCATGCAATGCATTACTGCTGATGAAATAGCAACAAACTTGACAAAGCTTTATAGAGCTCTTGTTCCTTCTAATTTACTATGAGAAAAACATCTATAAGTTTCATATTCATTGATAAAACAGATTAAAGTCAAAAATGGACAAATGATATAACATCTTAAAGACTTGATACAGGAATAGAATAACTGTATAAAGGTAGTCTTTGAAAAGTATACTTGGAAAAATGCATAATATGAAAGAGTGGCCATTTTGATACCTAGTTGTATGGAATGTTTTAAGAATTAGCAATTGTAAGTGTTACAGGAACTTTATTCCAGGTCCTGAGATAACTTTTACAGTGTCATGTCTTCTCCACAGTGATTCGAATGTGCAGTAGGAACAAGTAAACCAATATCTGCAGTTATTAACTTACAAAAAAGAAGTCGACTTCTTTTTATTAAGTCTGATATCAGATATGTTCATTGAGAGGTCTATTAAATCAGGCTGCTATTTATATTTCTTTCATGAGTAATAACCACACAAATTTTTATACCATTAATTTTTAATTTAAACACATGGTGTATAAGTGAAAATCCTATGTTTCTTTTCTTTACAAAAATCTAGTAAATATCAATTCATTGTATAATCACTACACCCAAATATTCTACAAAAAAATAACTTCACAAACTTTTTGAATTGTTGCTTTACTCTTTAAATTGTTTCTTAATAAAATATTTTCAATAATCAGTTCACTAGAACACAGATATATGATGTATTTTCCACGAAAAACATCCATAACCAGTTATGCCCAATTTTACACACATTTTAGTTATTTATCAGCTTTGGAGTTTATAGCTCATTAAATCAAACATAGTCAATGCACTATGATAATATTAATCACTTCCAAACATGACAAACATAATACTACTGGTGAAATTGAAAGTTGTGAACAGCAACATGATTCAACAGCAAAACTATATAATTTGACAAAGTAGTTTAAACTTAGTATCAAATACAATAAACTTAGTAGACATCCAACACAAACTATATAACAGAAGTTTTCCAAACAAATGAATAAAAAGCTGTCTTTACAATTAGCCACAGAACAGAAAAAATGCAATACAAGTTTACATACTGTACATTTCCTAATGGCTAGCAAGTTAGAAAACTAATGATACTTGTAATGTGGGCAAAGTGTTTCTCAGCACAGCTAAAGTGGCACTCGGTGAGGTAGGACCACAAGGAACACAAGCTTCTTGTAATCTAAACCCAAGTTTGGACGAGAGGCTGTACATATAAAAGTTTTGCTTAACCACAAACATCCATGTTGTGGGCATCAAAAAGTTTGTCTTTTAGCTTAGTTATTTTGTACATTTGAAAAGTAACTCCGCTGCTCTTGGCAATATATAACAATACCATAAAATACATTTTGAAAGCCAAGTACAAACTGAAGTAACTACTAGAGCACTGACACAACCAATGAATTTCTATGGCATTAAAAAATTAGGGCAAGCAAACTTAATAGCAAAATGACAGTTTTTCTGACTGCCCAATATAAACTCATATGGTAACTTTATTAGAGTTAGTACCATCACAGTTTCTCTTTCCTTGGTCCAAGAATACTCCCCTACGTCTGAATATTGCATATGTCTTGTCTCAGATGGCCAGCTAATTACAGCTGTCATTAACCAAACCGTTCTTTGACTAGAAACATCAACTTTTTCTTGCCTTTATAAGCAGTTTTCATATTGTCTATCAGTTGGGCAAACTGCAAATGTCCTTCAGGGGCAAGCAAAAAGTTCTCTCGGGCCTTACTAAGGAACTCAATGAAATCACTGTAATGTCTGGGGCTAATGTGTGTTAACCGAGAGTGGGTGGTGTTAACATATGCTGATACAGTGGCCTCCAGTAACTGCCTGAGTGGGGGTTTGTCCAAGGAGAGAGGCTTAATACATCGTCGTTTGGCATCCAATGTTGCTATACCTGGAGGAGCCATCGAACATCTACGTAAAATGTCTGACAACACTGTTGCACAGTGAACATTTTTTACAAGAAGGGGCACTAAGTTAGTAAGCTCAGACTTACCTAAGGAATGAGTAAGAGCACATGCCCAATGAATGTCATTAATTGCTGGGTGGTTGTCTTGATTATAAGCCAAGTGAACACCTTTCATGGCAAGAATGGCCAGTTTGTAAGCTCTGTGTGGATAGCCACGATGTTCAATGTACCTGGCTACTGTAAAGAGCTGTGATGATGTCATAACATTAGTTGTTGCAGCTTCCACAACAATTTGATATGCTGCTTCAAAGGCAAATGGATCATTTTCACACAATGTAAGAGCATTTAAAGCACAGTTTGGAGGGTCTTTAGTTGCACATTGAATAGCTAGAGTTCTAGCACAACTAGATAATTCTTCCTGTTGTGTGAAGTCAAGGTTCAATCTCATAACAGTGGCATGAGACATAACTGTTGAAGCTACTGGTCCTAAAAAAGAAACAGAGAGAAGAATTTTCAGATAGGTGTTGACATATATAGAAAATTACTGCTTAAAGTCCTAATCTAAGTTACACAGAAAACACCTAATAACACGTAAGGTTCACATTAAGAAAGTTTGAGAACCCAAACCATAGTAAGCCTAGTATTTTCACAGATTAACCATGCATTCCTTTTTTTTTTTAATACACCTCTCAGTAGAAAAAAAAAATCTTCTCTCACACAAATATCAACTGATTTCTGTTTAAGTTCCACCATGTTTAAGTTGTTATTCTTGACCACGATTGCTGATGAAGCCTTCTTTCTGGAGAGAAGTGGTGAAAAATCTAACCTTACATGAAATCTCTAATGCTGAATTCAATGCATGTTTCTGAATGAAATATAGGACATGCCATAAACTGCAAACCCATAATCATAAAGAATTATGTATATTTTTTTAATGTCAAATAAAACGTGTTACATACATTTTAAATCCTTTCTTATTTCTTGATGCTAGATGAACTATATTAACTCTTTCAGCACGGTCTCGGTCCCTGAGATCGACCTTGTAACTATTTTGTGCTTGTTATAGTTTTCATGCTATAACTTTTAAATTAGTAAGCGAATGTTAATGGAATTTGGCAGATTATCTGTTAACATTACAGAGCTTTCATACGAAAGATATCAAATTTTTTTATTAAGTGTCAAGGTTTGTAAAGCAATATTTTTCTTATGCCTTTTTTTTTTCTTTCTGCATGTTGCCTATCTATCATGTAAAGTAATTTTCATTTTAAGATTAAAAATACTTTTATGCATCAGAATAATTTCAAATTTCATATGTGAAATCTTTATAATGTTCAGATAGTTATCAAATGTTTCTTGAGAAAAACTTTATATTTCATCTGTTATTTTCAGTAATTAATCCCTGTACGGATTCGGTAGATTTGACCGATCTTGCAACCACCATAAAAATTAGGAAATAAATATAAATTATGCCTCTTTCATTCTAGAATGAAGAGAGATTATAATTCAAAAACATAAATGTTTAGACTAAATAGCTTAAATATTATAACATTATACATTTATATATATTACATTGACCTTTCAGCAGTGCTAGGCTAACATTACAGAAGTTACAATGATGCGACTCACGTGCATTAATGTTTCCATATCAAATAACATAAAACTGACCTTTGATCTGTACAGAATAACTTGTTTTGGCTGAGTTTTAGTAGACTAGTATTTTGTGAAATACAGTCACGTTTCAATTATAATACATTATATATACATATATAGATTATTGCTATTTTGAAATAAGTTCTTAAACCTATTTTTCTTAAAACACAGAACAATAAATACAGAAGTAAAGTAAATAATTATCTCTTCTAGTTACGACCTTTGTACTTGGTTGCTCTTTGACGCAGGTTGCCAAGTCATTAAAAATTTTGCATGTGGAGGACATGAAACAAAATAAATTTTTTAGGTTTTATATATATATACATGTGAATAACTAAAAAATCATAAATTACTACATCAGTACCATAGAATTCCACTATAATTTTTTATCAAGCTAAGTAACTAAGATGTATTTTAGTCTAAAAAAATATGAAATTTCGAGCACACTAAAGACACACCCTACCTTGTTGAAATATTGGTTCAAAAGAAAGAAATGGTGTCCAAGTCCATTAACATGGCTGAGAAAGCCGCTAGGGGGGCATTCTGAACTTCCGATTGGTTATTCATGTCACATATAGAAGAAAGTGTATATAAGGGAGCATTTCCAAAAATGGAAAGAGATGGGCAGGGTGCCACTGTGTTTGATTTATTACATGAGCAATATCTTAGCAAATAGAAAAGATAAGACCTTCTTATTTTATATTCTAGTTTGTCAATATCGGTAATTTGAGTTTCTAATTCGTATGAAACTATAGACTTAGTATTTTGACTTCACAAACATCTAATTTGAACTAGTGCTGCATCCAACATACCACATCACACAAACATTGATGTTTAACTGTTGCTTTTTTTATATTTACTTTTAAGTTAAGAAATTGAATAATGTATAGTACTAAAATTTGAATTATAATCTAC